CATCGGTCTTTGCCGCCGTCAGGCAACTCTCTTCGCAAAACCAGAACTAGCTACGACGTCCGGGACTGATCAGATAAGTGTAAAGGTGTCCATGTGCAATAGCGTCTTAGTTACGGAGAGTGTCGCGGAAGGCTGAAACCATCTACAAAAAAGTCCCTAATGTTTAGCATTTGTTTAGTCGAGTAAGCGACAACTAAAACAAGTCCTTAATAACGCTCTCCTTTTTTTTCCGGCCTCGACGAAAGGTTGTCATTCAAAAAACGAACACCCTTGAGACCTGGATGAGCGGCATCCCTCAGCCAAGCATATGTGAAAAGGTAGTATTTACTCTTTCTTCGTCTTGATTTCACTCCACACGACATCCCTCCGGAGGTGTAAGTCACAGCTGATGATCGCAAAAACTCTGGACTTTCCATAAACCTAGAGACGACCGTGGGTATACCGTCCACACGCAGCCGACACAAGAGAGTTTAAGGGAGCCGTCTTTGCACGTCTGATACAGTGCGATGGGTCCTCCGGTACGAATTGCGCATATGCGAGTCTTCTGTGATAGCGCATGCGCAGTTCGTACCGTAGGGCCTACCGTACAGTATCGGATGTCTAAAAACGGTTCCCTAAAACTCTCTATAAACGTGGGAACCAACCGTGACAACTCAGTTGATGTAGACCCTTTTCGCGTCATTTCGGCTAGTGTCGTACAGAGTGCTATGTGCGCAAATACTCTCTCCCTCATTTGATAATTGAAAATAAACGAGTCTAAATTAGAACCACCACTCCTGCGTGTTCTTTCTACTACAGACACGTTAAAACTTTATATTCTGGATTCGTCGTCCTAATTTATTACACATATGCGACACCAGGACTGTTCATTGTGGCGACACTGGAACTGATTGTGGAAATGCGCGACTGCGCATGCGCTTTGTGCTGCAGCTAACGCTACTGCATACCTTGGTATATACTAGAATCCCTGGCCATTCCCCCGCGGCTTCAAACTTCGCAGGTGGTCCATTTGATCGAGGCCGAGATGGAGCAGCTGAGGGAGCTGTGGTACTGCCGTCTCTGCTTCAAGTACCTCGTGGTCTGCCCTTGCAAGGCGGTGCCCTGCATAGCTCACGCGTCCAAGGACTGCCAAGAGCAGACCTGCCTTCACTTCCTGCCCCTCGACGAATGCCTGCACAGAAAAGTATATGGTCCGACTTCTCCTCTTTGCCCGCCCAAGTTGCACACTTAGAAACAACAACAACTATGCTGGTGGAGGCACCTCTAAACCGCAGCCAGCAATGCTCTTACATCATAGCGAAGACACGATAACAGAATTATCTCCGGATGCAAGCATGTTCAATGTCTGCTTCATACATACGTATGCCTCGAACGTTTCTGCGAACGGTTTTTTGTATGACCAATGGGAAAAGGACCGTCATATAAGGAAGAAACCTGTCTGAGACAGTAGAGAGTTTAGGGAGCCATTTTTGCACATACGATACAGTACGGTGGGCCCTCCGGTGCGAGCTGCACATATGGTATAGTCTCCTGTGCTTGCGCATGCGCAGTTGGTATCGGAGGGCCCATCGTATACCGTATCGAATCTGCAAAAACGCTTCTCTAAAACTGTGTCTGCAGACTGTCTTTTATATGATGTACAAGCGGTGTGACGGCCGCTTTAGGGGTGTGTGAATGCTTGTGCAGACTCCCCTCTGATGTAAATGTCCGCTGCGCTGATCGACGTCCGGTATCTCTCGGAACACATAAGATACAAAGATATGCGTAGGTATATTATGGTGGAAAAATATCACACATTGCATTTTTTTTTCACCTGAACTGATTTGCACTTACGTATTGACGATTGTATACCTGAAGGCTTTACAAACACAGGCAGGTCAAGAATCCGTAAAATATTAGTCGTCGAATATGTGCAACCGGATGAGCCTCTGGTGATGTTACCGCCGTCTCATATGTTCTCAAAATTGACGCGACGATACGATACAAAGACGGAAAATAAATTTACTGTTGTGTAATTTTTATTTTTCTATCACGACCTTGCTGCGCATTGGACGATATTCGCGAGAAAAAAAAAGGGGGGGGGGAAACTCAGTGATTGCTTGATGGCACGGTAGGCTAGCAAAATCATATTCCCCGCAGAAGCTGCCGAAAAGACAAAAAAAAAAAAAAAAAAAAACATCAGCCGCTTGCAATACAGCTTGGACACTCACTGCCCTTTCCTGTACCTTTGCTTGGAGTAGATGTTCAGTGTTGATTGCTTTTGTTTTATTGCACTATGTCGTCTCAGCCAAACAGGAATTTGACTTTGAAGGTTTCGCTGTATTCCGTAATATTACGACGCATTATTAGCTGCGCAGGTTACTACTCAGCTTCCTGCTCAATAAATAGTACGGAGTGTGGGAAAACAGAAGTAACAATCTCTATATGAACAGCCGGTAATACTGCCTCCCCAAGAGCAGATAGTAAAAAGAAAAGAAAAAAGGAAGAAAGGGGTTTGGTGTTGCCTTTTGCTTTAGTCTCTTTTTTTTTTTTTATCCTCCCAGGTTGTTTACTGCGACTACCGGCGAGTCCAGACGGAATTCGTGAGACGCCACTTCCCGTACGCGTCGTTCCACGGAATGCGAGGCTACAGTAAGCTCTTTACTTTTATGGCACTCCAGGAGCGATCGCTCTAATCGCCTATTCCTGGCACACACCACCGTGCACCTAAAGGCCCGTTTAAAAGTTCCTTTGTCACAATAGCGTGCGGACGTCTGCAAGCAGCCCCACTTTAAGAACTGTGCGGTCTGGCCACCGAGAAGAGAAAATGCCTTGTTTGGGCGCCAATCTGGCTGGCAACCGCGGGTACGTCTCGGCGGGGTTTCACTAGCAGACGATCTACGCGACCAAAAAACAAGATGGCGGCGCCCGGAGGCCAAATTTGCAAACGTCCGTATGTTCAGGGACCTGTACGTGCAGTTATTGCTGCGAGTTATCATATCAACCAAAGAAGTGAACGAGTGGTTGCTACCATGGTGACTTGCAGTCGAATCTCGATGTAAGCTCCTCTAACGTAATAAACGCTACTGTGTGTATCCACATTTAAATGCATTAAAGAGGGTCAATAAAAGAAGAGAAAAAGTGGGGGTGCGTTTAATACGAGCAGTGTTTTCTATCACGATGTCAACTCCAAAGTTAAAATTGTTGTTGTTCTTAGATTTTGTCATGTCGAAAAGAGGAAGCGTTAGGTACGCGCGAATGTTTAGACAGCGCGTTTAGACAGACATGTTATTTCGCCCTTGTATACAACATTGGGTTACGCTGTATAGAGTGTGACTGTGACTGTATCCGTGCTGTCCCATCTAAGCACGAATTACCAACTAGCCCAAGCATCCACATTATCAAGCCATCATCAACCTCGAGGCTATTTCTGTTTCTGTCCTGGCTTGGCTTAGCTTGCTTGGGTCTTTCGGATGGGTGGATAATTGCAATAACGGTACGCGTTGTAGTAGGCGGTAGCTTGCGCCACCTAGATTGAATGTTGCCAATGGAACTCAATTCCGAAATACTGCGCAAATACAAAACTAATAATAATGGTAGTGCGTCCTGGTTTTATTAAAGAATTGTTTGATCAAAATTATAGTTAAAAGATGTCCTAAGCTTACACAACTACATGTAATGATTTCTATGTGAAATTTAGTTTAGCAGTAAACGTGAACTGTGTATACTACCGCCATTTCATTCATTTATTTAAGAAAACGCAATCAAATTGAGGACGTATATATTGCCTATGACTTGTATTCTTCGTCGTCAATAAGTCCTCGGAATTACGGTTCTAAGATGAAGCAGCGACTGACGTTCTCAGGATTTCCTGAGGATGTCTTGAAAACTGTGAAGACGTTTGTACGTTTTGAGGACGTCCTGAAGATGTCGGGTGTTGTCTGGGCTCCTTTGCCGTTGACTTGCGAAAGTGACGGTGCCCGAGAAAATACTGCAGACTGCAGGTACATTGCCGCCATTAGTACGACAAAAAATAAACCGCCATTTCAGTCACCAGATGGGAGTGAATTTTGGAAAGGGTTTATTACGATCTGCATACTGCGTTGGATTCGTCGGATATGCGACCCTTTGATACGCTAGAGAAGAAAAGGGCCGCGCATTATTATGCCGTGCGTGGAACAGTTTTTTTTTGGCATCGCTGTATACATATATATGGTCCACACCGCTCGAGTAGATGTGCATTTGCCAACCAATCTGCGCGAACGGATACCCTTTGTTACAATGTGCGATCAGCATACTATTCACTCGCAGAAAAATGCCATGTGCCGGCAGAATAGTCACTTTTTTTAACTGCTCTTTAATTAAAGGAGTAACAATTATTGTGTTAGGATGTGTACGTACAACGTGAGACTTTCCGAAAGGTCAAATTTTCACGATCGAGTAAAATAAAAGAATCACTGTGTTCCGCTAAGATTCCTAAGAATCCTTCTTTCCTAACTTTTTTGTCTTCTTTTTTTTAAAGTTTACGTTACTTCCTTTATACACTATTGTACCTGTTGTGGGTGTAAAATCCTTTCTTCCGATTCTGTGCAACAACACTTTTCTTTTTGCGGTGTTCTCTGTCGCGCGAGGAACACAGAACACCTTTTTGCCATTCCCTGTTCGAGTGCTGCAGTTTACTGCACAACAACCAGGCATTTCGGCCGTTGCACAACGCAATTCGTACCAAAACGCGCGTATACAGTGATTCTAGTCTCGCCGAAAAGCTACGAAAAGTAAACGAGTCCGACAAACGATAACACAAAAAATCAGCGCGAGATGCCAAACAAGTCCGGATCTATACCCGACGTAAAGCGAACCCGGCGCTGGCACGGCCAGCGACGAAACATGGCCAAATCTGCTTAATCCTTCATGGTGGCCAAAGCGGCGGAGCGCTAGGGGAAGGTCACGTGTCATACACCGGCCTACCGCTGAGATCGGCGTCTTGATCATAGGTTGTCGCTACTTTTTTTAGTACAAAGGGACTTTACCCGTCTGGTTCTTTGTTCGGTTCCAGGTGCGGGCCTACGGCGCACCTCCAGCGCGCTGACCTGGGATCCAGACCAGCAACCGCTAGGTCTCGGCTTCGGAGGAATGGGATGGGACGAGCGCTACGGGAGCTACCAGTGGGACGAGCCGTCCTGGCTTCGCGAGGCCGCCAGATTCCTCGAGTCCGGCAACTCTGGCCGGGACTGGCTGGCACTCGCCAAGAGACTGGGCAAGTAGCCTTCGTGTGCCGCCGCAATCAAATGCTGTTGCGAAACTTACCTGTTGGGACACTCAGGAGAGCAGTCACCCATATTATTGAACAGAACTTAAGGGCTTAAAGGAGCCGGTATATACTGAATATTTTGAAGCAGTCCGAGACTGTGGAAATACGAAACTTGACACACACTAAGAGAAAGAGAACGTCTCAAACACAGCTAAAATTTTATTGCGGATAGAACCCTTTATATAAGAGTTCTGTACGAACCGAAAGAAGGGGAAAGACCCTTCTAAACTCACGCCTCTCGTTTGACACAAAGGAATAAAACGTCATCGCGGACCCTCTAAAACCTCTTATCAATTCAAACTCAGAGAGGCGCGTTACTTGTTCACAAACCGACACACGGCGGTAAGCTGATTGTATGACGTATTGGACCCCTCCGGACTTCTCCGCAACGCTCTCGACTATGCTAGGTTGCAACAACACAGTAGAGCACTTTAGTGCTTTGGCACGAAAGCGTGATAGTGGCAAGGGTTCAAAAGCATAAAGCTGCGAAAGCCTCACTACAAGGTATTCGCAACACCCGGTGACCACAACGTGAGGCTCTGAATTTACCGGGAAACGCGGTGTTTTTTTGCCTGTTTATTTTTAATAAAGAAGTTCCTTCTGCGTAATTCAAAGAATTTCGTATTTTGTTACGACATATTGCGGCAGTCACAACTTAGCCGGGAAGTGAGAACTACCTGGAACTGAAACGGGGATCTCATAAATGGGACTGTGAACTTCTGTGAGCTCCAGATGGGACAAACGCCATTTATCGGCTTGAAACGTGAAGCTGGAAAAAGGAGGATCCCAAAACACGTGATTGGAATTCGGAATAGATAAGATCTTTGATAAGATCGCGCATGTTGCGCGTAAACAAAAGGTTCAGGTTCGCTGATTACGCCGGACGAATCGTGGTGGCCCCCTGTGACGCAGGTTACACCGACAAGGAGTTGAGCCGGTTCGTGGAGGAGCCCAACCCTGGCATCGCCCTGCTCCGGGACTGGCGGGAGAGCAACGGGGCCACGAGGTACTGCGTCGACGTCCTGGTCTCCTGCCTCCAGCAGATGGGCAAGCACAACGTGGCCAAGCTCATTCAGGACGAATTGGGTAACATATACCGACAGGGCAATCAAGATTGGTTCGACGGGTAGCGCCATTTTACGTGGAAGTCTAGCAACTCTGGGTCGACCCGTGGCCGGGATCTTTGTATTCAATCTCGAGCTTGAACTTCCGAGTGTCCTGCCGAACTGTGACGCTACACTCGTGTCCAGTTGTTCAGTGGCATGGCCGGTTCGAAGTTGCCCTTTTTTTCCACCAGCCGCGCCGACCGATGCGCCCCCTGTTCACTGCCCCAGCGGTATACGCTCATCCTCTTTTTCTTTTTCATCATGGCAGCGCTGAAAAACACAAAAAAACAATTGGAGGACTCTTAAGCTTCGCCTTTAAGAGTGGAACGCGATAGCGTTATTGGGCCTCGGTCGCATCGCCTTCTCATTCGCTTCTCATGATCTTCCTGCCAGTGAGCAGGAAGTGCGGCAGACGAGCATAGTCAATAGCGTAAAAAAAAAAGGCCTAGTCAGCCTGTCTGGTTCGCAACCGAAGGGTCGTGAGTTCGAATCCCGCCTAAAAGTCTTCACGTTTTACTGTTAGGGATGTAAATTACTTTATAAAGTGAAATCATTTGAGACATACGGTAACCTTTATTTCGCATTTCATATCATGTTTTTTAATCACTTTCATTCCACGAGTGACGTCAGGTTTCACGTGGGAGTTGTGGGTTGTTTGAAATTCCCGCGCGAGATCATCTGGCTGTGACGTCATGACCGAATCGACCAATCAGGATTTTCCCGCCACGCCACTGAGGCCGGCTTTCCCGCTGTCGCGTTAAATGGGATTGTCAAACAAGCGTTAGAATAGGAACCGACCTTTCGACAAGTGACTTGGCTTTTGATAGAGAAAGTCATTCTTGATACTGTTCAAACTTTGTGCCAGCTCCTGGGGGTTTGAATTGTTATAGCAGAACACTTGCAGGCACATTGTCAAACGACGTCCGAAGACTAGCTATGAACACCCGTTAGGTGGTGCGAACCAACGCTTAATTAAAAGGTGTCAGCCGTATTTATTCATTCACGATATTAAATAAATCGTGAAAACCCTAGCTACTCATAAAGTCTGCAAGTCCCCCTCCGTCTTTTGAATATACAAAGTACTAGATATTAGAGAATGCAACAATGATGGCCAGAATGTGTTGCCCACATCGCTTTCCTAGGATCCGTAAACGACTTTATTGTCGAGGGCTCGATATTTCGCGAATTTTGCGTAATGTGAGTTTCGAGGAGTATTTCGCGAACGCAGTATTTCGCGATTTGGAGTGTTAGGCTACGTATTCGTGACCTTAGGGGGTTCTCGTAATCACAAATTTCGCGAAGCCTAGGCGCTTGCAAACCTTGAGTCTTTTACAGTACGCGAAGGGACTAAAATGACCGTTCAAAGCGGCCCTAGAAGAGTATTTACCCCTTATACTATAATTGTGGTCACTCCGCCCCCGCGCACTGTGTGAAGTGCTGCTCGCGGCCCCTTCCAGAGCCCGAGTCGCTGGTGCCCCCGGTGTTCATCAGCTACCAATGGGACGCCCAAGATGTGGTGCTCAACATCCGGCAACACCTGGAGTTTTCCGGCTTCCCGTGCTGGATGGACGTCGGACAAGTCGGTGGCGGAGACTCGCTCTATGGGAAGATCTACGAAGGCATCAGCAGGGCCAAGGTAGTACGTTTCTTCGATGCGGACTCTCCAAAGAACCTCTCGTAGGTTTTGACGAGGCTATCTCGAGCCGCTAAATGGGGTATACGCTTAAAAGTAACAACCCCTGAACTTTATGACAATTGCTGGATCGCAGTTCCCCCACTCCGCAACTGCGGTCACCGTCGGCCATCTTACGACGCTCGCTCTAGCGTTGTTACCATGGTTACCGTGTGTAGGTCACGTGACAACAGTTTTTTGTTTAGTTTAAACGTATGTTTTGTGTTGATTTACGAATATCGACTGATATGGTGCTGAGTTACTTTTTCTATTTTCTAGGTTTTTTTTTTTGTATCCCCTGCGATTATGCACGATTTTGTTTCGATATTGATTTGTCGAAGCTGCTGCAGAATGTACCGGGGTCGAGAACTCGTCAAGCCGCGTAGCGCTGATTTTTATCTTGGCTCTACCATTACGTTTAAGGGAAAATAAACAATTATTATTATTGTTATATGAAACTGCAGGCAACGCTTTTCGGTCACGCAGGAACGTTAAATTAGTCAGCGACAAAGAAAAACTATATCGTCCGAGATACTCGACTCCGTGTTAAAAACCCGGCAAGCAGCATTTTAGCCAGGGACTCAAGCCGATGAAATATTACGTTTCGGTTACAGTTACGGTTACCGTTTCCTGTTGATGTCAGTTTGTTTAGACTTTTTTTTCTGTTTTAATTTTTACGGTTTTGGTTACTGGTTATACGTTCCTAAAGACCTGCTTTTTTTTTTTAGTTTCTCCAATAATGGCGGGAATTTGTTGTTTCTTTTCTTGTTGTGGAAAAACAAGGTAGGGAGTATTTTCAAGGGGAGTTACGACTACAGATCAGTAGAATACTAAGAATTTAAGAGCAAGCGTTCGGCAACTTCCGCATATATGAACAGTGAGCAGCTAAAAAAATCAGGCATGACTTCAATTTCCGTGTCCAGCTTGTAAGCCAGTCCACCAGTAACGAACATGACATTAAAATAATTTTGGCGGCTAACTATAGGTTTTATGCATGGGGCAGAATTAAACTGGAGATAAATAAGAGCCGTGTTTTTCTCGCCTCAATAATTAACCCTCAATCTACTCCGGAATGTAGTGCTAGCCGTTGGGGTCCGATTTTATATATAACTGAGCGTGTAAGCTTCAGAAGAAGATTGCAGCAAATAGAGCACGTGAATGCAGGGACGTCTAACTGCTAGTAACAGTTTTTTTTTTTTTCATTGAAGCTTTCTGAAAATTATTTATAGCTCATATAACGCATAGTTCTGAAACTTAACATCTTATCCGGACCACTAGAGATACAATCGGGTAAAGGCTGAGCTGACTGAGCAATCGCCTTTATGTAGTTTATTTTTGTTGTAGTGGCATATAGCCGTATAGTGTTTTATACTTGCCACTTGTGTCATAATGAACGCCAAGAAGCACATCGCCACCGCATGACACCTTTCAAGCATCCGAAACACTCTTTCGTTAAGTCTGGCGAACGCAGAGCTGAATAAATGGTGTGCTGTAATAAAAACATCACGAGATAGAACTGCAAGCAAATGGAAATCTTATATCTGGCCATATCAAACATTATATGATTATATACGGCCTATATACAGACTTATCTCGCGTATATACAGACTTATCTGGCGTATATACAGCCTGATATAGCGTATATACAGACTTATCTCGCATATATACAGACTTATCTGGCGTATATACAGCCTGATGTGGTGTATATACAGACTTATCTGGCGTATATACAGACTTATCTGGCGGCCGGTTTTCAATATATTAAAAAGTTAAAAAAATTAAAAAAGATTTTTTTGTTAGAAAACTCTGAATGACTCATTGTTCGCGAGCAAAATATTAGCACAAATAATCTTAAACTTCAGCTTTGACAAGCTTAAGTTTGAGATTATTTGTGCTAGTTTTCACGAGGATTTTAATGTAGCTTAATTATTTCAAAGTGTTAACATTACGCCCGAATAGACAATTTGCTAAATCCACCATGCGCCTCGGCCCGTACTCGAGGAATCATGGGGACAGTGTTTCTTCAGCTGCCTAGTGATCAAAACTTTCGAGCGATTCTATGGTTACACAGATTTGAGCGTAATTCGGAGTCACAAGCCTGAACACGTGCCGTAAAGAACCCAAGCACCGGCCATACCAATTTTAAAAATGCCCCGCCAATGTCAGTACTGTGCATTCTGTCCAACCTTCAACCTGGATGAGCTGCAGACATATCTCTTACATTATTATCATTCTCGTACAGCTTCAAAGACGCTGGTATTAAGTTAGAAACGCTAAAAATGTCGTAAACAGCTCCGCTGAATCCCAGCTAAATCCCGGTTTTGGTTGTTGTGATTTCTCGACTTTTAAGTAATTCCTGCTAAAACAACAATCACGAAAGTGATAATATGGTAAGAGATTTTGGCGGCTCAGCCTGATTGAAGTTTTGACAGAATGCACAGTATCATATACGCTGCCATTGATGAGAGAATTTAAAAGTGGTATGACAGATACTTGAGCCCCATGGGATGCTTGTTCAGGGTGACTACGAATTACACTCGAAACACTGTAACCATGGAATATGTCAAAACTAGCGATCCCTAGGGAGCTATACTCCGCGACAACTTTTCTTGGCAATGCAGTGGAAAGTAGAGGCCCGCGTCCCCTCTCCCATTTTGAGTGTGCGCGGGCTCTCTTCCTCTCGCCGGGAATGGGGGAGGGGGAGAGCCTGCGCACACTCAAAAATGGGAGAGGGGACGCGGGCCTGTACCTTCCACTGCATTGCCAAGGAAAGTTGTCGCGGAGTATAGAGGACCACCGTTTCCATAACTCCTGGAGTGCGGGCCGGGGCACTTGGGAGAATTGTAGACAATAAAAGGATGTAAAGTGCCGATTTCAGGCTTGTGTCCTTTTAAAATGCTTGGCCAGATCTGGAATTTTCTTACTTAGCCAGATCTGGGATTTCCATACCTGGCAAGGGGTATCAGGCTATATCTGGCATTATGTGGCCAATTTTGTATATGGTCATATCTGAAATCTTCAGATATGGCCAGATATAAATTTTTTATAAGGGTAGCACTGCCGCTCAGGGAAACTACGCCAGTGCCACCTAGCGGCATCCGCTTCGAATGCCTCGCGCTGGGTGCGCCGCATTTGCCACTACTCCTCTTCTAGAACACTGTACCCGAATATCAATTTGACGATGCCATTTTTTATGAATCTCAAGAGAAAGACGAAAAATGCAGACCCCATGACCAAAAAACAATTTATGTTTATTATAATTGATCGATGCGTATAAAGTCAACAATAGGCCATTAAAATAACTATTAACAAAGCACGATACAAACTCTGGAAACGTCCTGTTACCTGTATGCCTCTCCTTGCGAGTAGCGCAGTTGCTGGCCAGCAACACACGCGCTCAGCCAACGTGCCTCCGTGAACTCCGTCGTCTGCTACATGTTCTATGTAGGGTGACCAGAACACTTTCCGGCGTCGGTAGGGGGTGATGCACGTTTTGTAAATAGTCTATTTTAAATAACATGAATGATTTTTTTTTTTGAAGGGAAGGGGGGTGGGGTTGTACAAAACCGTCTTTTGTCCAGAGAACTGAAAATAGTACAGCCACAAACCTCAGTCACCGGTAATTCCTCGGCACTTCTTAGTCATCGTGTGGTATGGTAGCGTCTTGGCCTTGCAGCGTGCACTGTGCGTCTGACTCCCAACGATGGCGTCTGCGTCGCAGGTGGTCATCTGCTGCCTGACGCCCCGCTACGCCGCATCGGCGTCGTGCGCCCGCGAAGTAAGCCTGGCGGACGTGCTCCGCAAGCCCATCATTCCCATCATGGTGGAGCCGACGCCCTGGCCTCCGCCCGGACCGCTGGCCATCGTCATGAGCTCCCTCGTCTACGTGGACCTGTGCGGTGAGTGGCCCTGTCTCCGACGGCGACGGCCGTTATAATTTGCATCGTCTCGCAGGGGTTCCCCTGGTTTGTTTTTCCTGCAGGGTCGTCCCGGTGGCTGGGGAATTTCTCCGCTAAATTTAGCGGGGAAGTTTTCAACGCTAAGCATCATGGAGTCACGTGACACTGTAATATCATGTCATATGATGACGTCACGTGGTACCATGGCGTCACGTCACACTGTGCCCTCACATGACGCCACGGATACCATTACATGACGTCAAACAGTAATGCCACGGGACACTGTCACGTCATAGGATGTGATGAATAGTGTGCAGGGTGATTGTGTGTAGTCCTAGTCAAAAAAGTGTGGGGTACCTCGGCTGCCGCAGAAGTTTTGTTTGCTGAAAACAGCAAGAAACCGGCATTCCTTTTGTTCGCTCTTTGAGTTGTACTTTCTGGTTCGGAAATGCAACTTGCCACGAGAGAAAAAAGAACACTTTGATCAATTGATTGATTGGCTGATTGATTGAGTCACCTCGCGCTGGCAACCCGAGGATTGCCTAAGTATCATTCTTTTCGTGTCGATCATCAGCCTAAAGTTGGACTAACTCGTTGCGAAACGAACACTTTTATTTCTACATCGCACATACGTCAACGAATGGAATCACCTTCCCGCAGACATGGCATCTATATCTAATTATACACTATCATCATCATCATCATCATCATAACGTCTTTATTTGTGCCAATCAACAACCAACAAAAGGTTTACAATCTGGCACAGTGAAAAAATTGCACAGCTGTAAAACATGCTCAACTGATAAAACTAGCATGAGAAAAAAAAACACGACAGTACATTTTTAGCGACGGAAAATAGTCTCATCTAATTGTCTACTGAGATTTACGTAGCAATCAAAAATATAAAAAAATTCATGCCCAAATTTCCGGCAATCTTTGTTTTCCGGAAATATTTGTTCGCGTTTTCTTGTGATGCTTCTGACTGATTTTCTACTTTTATTTCGCTTTGTGGAAAACGTCATTTTTCTTCTTTCAAATGACTGCACATGTTTTGGTCTTTTGTTGTTTTTATGTTTCCTTTCCCACTCCCTTCTAAGGGGAGAGCAAGTCGTCTGTTTCTAGCGCAAAAGTTGCGGTGACGTCAGCATGAGCAACGCCGAGTTCAGATCGGCTTTGATTGAAACGGTGTGGGTAGACCTCAATGCTAGATGCCTTGAGGTCTACCCACTACTTGTTTTTCAATCAGCCAATAAGAGCTCGGCGTTCTGACTAGGGGTGTCGATCGCAAACCTGCCCAAGTTCGGGTTCAACCATGTTCGATTTTTTCGACGTTTCAACGGGATGTTCGACGAAGGTTCGACTGAAATTCGACTTTTGTGCGCATGCGCGAAAATGAGAAAACCAGTTGACTCCACCTGGCGGAGGAAAAGTGCAATATTCATTGGGTGTATTGGCCATCAGTGGTTCACATTACTAACGAAAGCAATAAAAGCGCATATTTTCGCTTTTATATATAGTGCAAACATCGGTAGCTATTTTATAAAATATAAAATAAACTACTTTCTTAGTTATTTGTTCCCCGGAATTCAAAATATTCGTGCAGAAGCTGGACAACACTGTCCAAAAGTCGAACTTCTTCGAACTTCAGTGAAAGGTCGAAGGTTCGGCGAACCAGTCGAATCTTGAGGTTCGGCAAAAGTTCGCGAGACCCCTAGTTCTGACATTATCGCAATCCCTATGCAAGAAGCAGACGAACTTGCTCCCCGCATTGAGTTACTGACAGACATCGGTAACGCCGGTTCCCCGCTAGCACACGAGAGATAACCTAGCACCTGCTCGGTTATCTCTCCCGCGCGCGCGCAGAGCTGCAGATATACAAAAATAGATCACCATTGTGTGCGCTTGCGGGATCACACGATGCTTTGTTTATCTGCTGCGGAGTTTTGAGTTTTATCTTGCCATATCTTCGCTTCGTGGTCTTCACACTACGTGGGCTGTTCCTGGGTGGCTAGATTGGACATTTACGTGTACGTTCCAAAAGGTCAAGGAAGTGACATAATGGCGTCTGATTGGTGGAGGCAATTAGCGCTCCACCAATAAGACTACTAAGCGTGAAATCACTTCTGCCCGGATAATTGTTAGTCCGAGAATTCACAGCATAACAGTCTTAAGTAGTAACGCGTTACTAGTAACGCGTTACTGTGACTTCGTTACTTTTTCGGTAGCTTGTATCTGTAACGAGTTACTTTTTAAGAATGTAACTTGTAGCTGTACTCCTGTTACTTTTTCTGAGGTAACAATTAAAGTAACGATGTTACTTTTGTTGTTACTTTTCAGTTCTTCATGTATAATATATCATTGAACGAGTATAATTAGCTATTCCTTGCACTTTCCACATTGCCTGTTTTGACATTTCGAGTGTCAGTTGGCCTTGCACAGACTTGGGAATACGTTCTTTCTCGCGAGTCACGACCCGAATATAGCCACGTGTAGATTTGATGGAAAAATAGAAGAAAAGAGGAATCTAGTTATCTTTACGCTTGTGCTTGTACTTTGTGACTGACACTTACAAAGTAGTATCTTGAAGCACTATCTCTGTTGCGTTTTTTTGTGTTTTTTTTTTTTTTACTGCGCACGCTTTTTAATCGGGTGAATCAACCGTGAAACAACGATACACGCGGAGGGGAAGTCGTATGTTTCGTATTTTGATTTGCGCCCCTACTCCGGCGTGGTGTCAACAGTGGAGGCAAAATTTACCGTGTTGTTTGCCCGGGGTTTGTTTCTGACTTGCCGTGTACGCACTGAAATATGTCCAAAAACTCCATGAACCCAGCGCAACCGTCAACTAGCAAGCAATGTGCTAATACTACCAAGGATAGGGATATTGATGAGAACAAAGAACTAGCATGAACGGCGTACAGATAGTATTTTGCTGTGGTGAAGGGGGTTGCTAACAATTTGACCGCAGTATGCAAACTTTGCAACAAGGAGCACTCCGACAACAAGTCTTCGAGTTCAAATCTGAGAAAACACATTTAGTTGAATTTTAGAATTTATTCTTTTTATAATATTGACTAAGTTTCCAGCTAAATTATAAAGTTCGAATTTACCGCTATGGTGAAAGTCTGACTGATTCGTGTCTATATTTTTTTTCTTTCGGACACTAGTTTTTCCTAACTTTTTTTTTGTGTTATCGAAAAGTAACTGAAAAGTAACTTCGCTAGTTTTTTCTGAAAGTAACTGTAACTGTAACGAATTACCTTTTAGAAGTAACTTACCCAAGACTGCAATATAGTACCCTCTGGAATACACACTTTCTTTCTTTCTTTCTTTCTTTATTTTTTTCAGTGAGGTTTTGATGCTTCTTTGATTTGAGCTGTGAAGAAGGATGTTTCCTGTCAACTCGGTTTTTGTCCTCAGATATGAATCCGTGCATTTAACATTGATCTTCTTGTGCAATAGCTTCAAGCGACACAGACAGGGTATTTATGCTCACCAAGGTTTTTATTTCTAAATGACATACGAGAGCCCAGCTACCCAGAACAGAATTTGCGGTTCGAAATTTGTTTTCTTTCCGCCCGAAAACCGCCGATCGAGAACTGGCTTGTTTGAGTCGCGCTCACTTTCTTCTCCGTGGCCACGTGCCGTTTTCGATGGTTTAGACACAACCAACAAATATCATCAAAGTCGTGGGTCATCGAAGGCACATACTCAATATTAAAAAAAGAAACAAAATACGATACCTATTTTTTTTTGTGGCTTCTAAAAAGCTGCAAAAACGTTGAATAAAAAAAGTGAAAGCCGTTTACAACTCCCTGTAACACCGAATTAGAGCGCAGCTCTTGAGGAGGAGGAGGGAAGAGTACTGGGGGGGTGAAGTGACCTGGGGGGGGGGGGTCACGTGACCTTGGGAAGTCACATGCCGATGCCGATGATGTCATCAGTGACGTCACTGATGACGTCATCAGTGACGATGACGATGTGGACTCCGATGACGTCATCAGCGATGATGACGATGACGATGCGGATGTCGGTGACGTCATCAGTGACGTCACTGATGACGTCATCTGTGACGTCACTGATGACGTCATCTGTGACGATGACGATGCGGATGCCCCCGAAGTCACGTGACACCCCCAGGTCACGTGACCAACCCCAGGGTCACGTGACCCCCGCCGATGTCACGTGACCTCCTCAATGACGTCATCGTCACTGATGATGTCACCGGCATCCGCATCGTCATCATCACTGATGAGGTCATCAGTGACGTCACTGATGACCTCACCAGCATCCGCATCGTCATAGTCATCATCACTGCTGACGTCACCAGTGACGTCACCGGCATCTGCATCGTCATCATCACTGATGACGTCATCAGTGACGTCACTGATGACCTCACCGGCATCCGCATCGTCATCGTCATCATCACTGCTGACGTCACCAGTGACGTCACTGGTGACGTCACCGGCATCCGCATCGTCATCGTCATCATCACTGATGACGTCATCGTCATCATCACTGATGACGTCATCAGTGACGTCACTGATGACCTCACCGCCATCCGCATCGTCATCGTCATCATCACTGATGACGATGACGATGCGGATGCCGGTGACGTCATCACTGACTGACGTCATCGGCGAGGTCACGTGACCTCGGCGGGGGTCACGTGACCTGGGGGTGTCACGTGACCGGGGGGGTCACGTGACCTCGAAGGGGGGTCACGTGACCTTGGGATGACCTTGGGGGGCCACGTGACCTTGGGATGACCTTGGTTACGCCGACGGCGACGCCGACGCCGCTCAAGCCGGGAACGGGCCCCTAAGAGCTGCGCTCTAAAAGAAGGTTGCTCAGCCACGTGGCTTCCGGTAACTCTCCTCCTCTATATTTCTTCTTCCTCCCAAGTCCAGCTTCGGTTTCGGTTTCGAGCGATTGCGTTTTATGACGTTATTAAAAATATACGTGACGCTGTAGCAATTTTTTTTTGGTAGTTCTCTAAC